TATTTATACTATCAGAGATCTTTTTCTGTTCCATAATGAATTGTGCAAAGAATAAATACTCTGGATTGGTTGCAAATTTCCCACTGTAATGCAAGAGGCGAGCATTGAAATATTTTATAGGAGATAATTTTATGTCTCGTTCAGAGGTATAACCAAATCGTCCTTTTGGAAAGAGTACTGGAAATGAGAGTTCTTCACAAAGCTTATCAGTCATCAATGATACTGGGTGTTTGCCTTCACCTGGTGCAATGTTGAAAATTTCTCTACCTGTTGAATTACAGTTTGTATTGTCTAGGTTAACAGGATAATTTGGCAAGATGGACTGAAGACAGGTTTCGCTTGCTGCTGAACGGTGTTCATTTAATGGATCATCTTGTTCTTCAACATCTTCATTACACAGTTCTCTATTTACATTACTTTGCAATTGCAATGGCTCATCTATATTTTCTTGATCAGTATCAGGACAGTTCAAATTAGTTAAGTCTGAGCTAATATTGTCACATTGAATTTCAATGTTTCTATATAACGGATTGTTCGCTATAAGCCAGTTTAATGCACTAATTACAAACTGAGGGCGAACTGCTTGGAAGTAAACATGACCTCTAAATTGAAGTTTCCTTTTTAATTTAAGTAAAATTATCCCAGATCTGTCAGGTGGTCTGGGAAGAACATTACACGTTTGACTACATTCAACTGCTACATTACATATTGCACCTTTAATTTTTCTTTGTTGTCCTTTTGGCATTGCTACAATTTTTTCAAAGACTATTCTTTGTGCAATAAGAATTTGCTCAAGTTTCTCCAATGCAGCAAGTTCAGTGGGGGTTTCATCAACAAATAAATTGTTTACCACAGCTTGACAAGGCTGTTGACCTTTAAGTAATTTAACATGGCAAGTTTTGCAGATGTACTCTTTGCTATCAAAAGAACATTGAAGCATGAAACAATCCTGGCGAGGATATTTATTTTTCTGCAGGATTACTACTGACTTTTTATATAATGTTCGGTTACAGACACAGCATATGTAAAATGGACCAGCTTTAATTTGTTTTTTAAATTTTTCAATGTATGTGTCAATATCATGAGTTAGAGATTTCTTTTCCATCCGTTTATCTTTCACTCTATTCAGCAAATTGTTTTTTTGTTTTGGATCCAACGACATGCGATTTGACATGATTTTGTTTGAAGTGATAGCAATTAACTCTTTTTTCTTTGATTGATCCATTGCTTCATACTTTACTCTTTTACACTCCAGTACATTTTGCTTTTGTTCTTTACTCGTTGTTTGTTTATACTTCATATTTTTAGTAAGCAGTTTTTGTTTTTTCTCCTTCGCCATCATTTTGTATTTCATCTGCTTTGTTTCTACCTTCTGTTTTTTTAGAGCTGGTTCAATGAAGTCATTTATATAGTTTTGTCTGTGGTTTTTCATAACCTTTTTTCTTTCACAGTTAGTTAATGCAGAAGAACAAGCCACAAATTGAATTTCATAATTTACAATTTCATCATTGATTTTGGTGTTTGCTAGGTTAAAGATAGTATCAACTAAAGTCTGCTTGTCTTTTATGTTTTTAATGTAATGTGCAGTACATGTAGGTGAGCTATCATCATCATCATATGCTAATATTGAGTATGACATGTTCTTAATTGAAGTCTTTTGAAAAATGCAAGAAATACAATAATCTCCAATCCACATTAAGAACCCTGTGTTTTCATTATTAGTATGAGAAATAAGGCTTTCAATGTATGGTTTGCTTTTTGCCTTGTCATTAACTACACCTTGAATGTTAGCGTGCAATTTTATATGTATTTCAGTTCCACATATTTCAACTTTTTGAGGTATATCACTAGATGCATTTATTCCAGTGTTGTTATACAAAGTAGTGCCGAAGTAAACAACTGCAGATACTGTATTTGAATCCCAGTAATTACAAGGTTTAATAACAGAATAACAAATCGAATATAATGAAATTGCACAACATTGTCTAGTACACAACCAAGAAACGTCAGTACTTTTCGATTCCTCTGAGCCATTACCTGATAGGGTAGAATTTCTAATGTTGTTGTTTAAGTTCTGGTCACTATTGGCTTGTACTTCTTCAATATTTATTCCTCTTAGCTCAAATTTACTGTTTTCACTGTACAAAGACTGGAAATACAGAATTATATTGTTGATATTTGTTGCTTCTAACAGCACACATGTACCTTGTGGATGACTTCTGCCATAAATATCTCTTGAATGAGAGTCAAAAACTTTATACTTGCCATCAGTGGTGGAAAATATGGAAACAGCATTGGAGTCAATTGTTAAAATGAATGCACAATAGTGTTCAGCCAGGAGCATCTCAAATGATCTGTCAAATGGAACACAGTACTGATACCCTTCAATAGAACTGTCTCCTATTACGTTACCGCTATAGCTCTCACTGTACTCTAAAACAAAATCTGTGTCAAATACTGTAAGTTGTGAAGGCAATTCTGTAAACAATAAAAATGATTGCTGTGCTAAACATGATAAGTTTGAATATAGTTCATTACCAATATTCATTATATTAACCAGGTCTTGTGGCGATAAAATGTTCTGCCTTTTGTTGTATATAAGGGCACATAAACACATTGCTAAACACTGCTGTCCTGCTGTTTCTCCAAATATAATCTGATTACCTTGGCTATATGGTGCACTGATTGTCTTGCTGGGATCAATATAGAATACAGGTCCAGGATTTGTCTCGATATCTGTACATAATACTGACTGACAGACATTCTTTAAGTGGTTTACATTTTTGTACACTTGTTGTGCGTATAAATCATGAGTCAAACCTGATGAATAGAATATATCTGCAAGAATCCCTTCACAAATATAAAATTTTAAATCTTTTGCTGAATGTTTTGTCTGGCGTCTCTTTTCAACCTTCTTTGGGCAGTAAACATCAGGGATACACTTCATCCTAGTGTCTTGACAATACATAATATTCTGTACTATATAATGAAGATGAGAGGATCTGGGTACAGACCTTTTGATCTTATGTCTGAGACGTTTTCTCAACAATCGACTTTTTCCAAACTTCCTAGTTAACCATTTTACCTGTATTCTACTGGGTTCACGGTCACGGTGACGTAAATGGCAACCAGTGGTAGTAATGTCAGAAACATGCTTTTGTGTGCAGATGTTATAAAATAATGCATGCCGTGATCGCACTGGGAGTTTCTTTGTACGCATAGCCTTGAGCTTCGAAGGACCTGTTATTTTATTCTGGTTAATATTTAACTTGGAAATGCAGTTGTTAGATATATTTATACCTGACATACATTGATCTGTGGACACATTCTTGTTTTCCATATCATCTTTGCTCAAAAGTGTTGAGAAATTCTTGGTTGGTATCTGTTCCGACGATATCGCATTGTCCATGTTCTTTGTAGCCTTTCTACTACTGGCGGCCATGTTAACCATGTGCTCATTCACTTCGTTGACAGTACAGCAACTTGATTGTGAGTTTACGTTTGTTTTTTGTAAATTTGTCTGAGTATTATTCGTCATTTCAGTAGTACTTTTGTCACATTTTTGTTCACTTTTTGTATAATATTTTTGGCAACTTTTTGTGTATTTTTGGCAATTGTTTATGCAAGTTTTTACGTACCCGAAGGTATTTTTCGATTCGTGGATAATCGACCCGGTTCGAAATCGCTCGGCATCTTTTAGTGTAGGTCTACCACGAATAGGTGCAGAGTTATGCGAGGTGAGCGTATTTGAAATTAAATCACATTCACTTACCGTAAACATCGTCAATAGATCGCTTTCTTCCCAAAATATAAAACAGCAGTAAACACTCTGTGCTAAGAAGTTCACTTGCGATTTGCAAATAAATTTGCGAACGTTGGTGTTTCCATGTAAATTTTGGTAAAATTCCCGAATTTTCGTCAAAAAGCAGGGTTATTTATGGATAATTTGGGTAAAAATTGGCAGGAGCCTTATGGATAATCTGGGTAAAAGTTAGGTAGCTCATTAATATTCTATTTTGTGGCTATCAATCGGAGAAAAATCAGAGCCGAAACCTATACTCGCCAGGGCACAGGTGCCCCAGCGAGTAATAATGATCCCGACGAATAAATAGTTGCAAAACTATACCTGCGCGTGCGATCAACTGTACCCCTAGTGTTGATCGGCAATCACAAGTTAGTCATGATCAGCTACAATTTTGCACTGAGAACTTAACCTTGAAGCAGGGAAGTAAAGCATCAAAAGACCTGATAGTATATACGTATGTGTATGTATATCAAATTACTCTGTGATTCCTCACTTATAAAATATAACCCAGTATCATTCGTGATGACAATTAAAACGTATGTAGTTGAAACTTGAATATATGAAAACGTTTTCTGAATTGCCGTTGTTTTGTATTTTGTAAAGATTCTGAGTGGATTTTTCAGAATCTTCAATACTGTAAGTAAAATACATGGAATTGATTGTGTAATTATGACATCACACTTGCAGATATAGCTTTCTGAATGTAAATATGACATCAATTCTGCCAGCAGAAAACGAGCTTCTTTACATGCAGAACATATAAAGCCATGGCCCATGGCGAGATTTGTTTTTGTAACTAAAAAAAGAAGCGAGCTTACAAACTAAGACAGAGAAAAGAGAGAGAAAAACACAACCTCGGCATTGATAACTTTCAATATCACGCGAAAATTATTAATTATTGTCGTAATAGATTTTTTGAAGTTTAGTAAATTTCGTGTCCGCATGTCCGCGTTTTCCACCTGACTTGCGTGTCCGCATGTCCGCGTCCGCATGTCCGCGTTTTCCATTTGACTTGCGTGTCCGCATGTCCGCGTTTTCCACCTAACCTTTTGGCAGTGCTTCAGGCGCCCGATGATATTGTATGAGGGGCCTTTAGCACTGTCAACTTCTCATCTTGAGATGTTCACGGTTATCGCGTGTACTTGTCAGGATGACGAAGGATTGCGAATAATGTCTGTGTGCACTGATACACGCTGCTTTATTTTTAATAATGCTGTGTGCACGCTGCATTATTTTTAATAATGCTGTGTGCACGCTGCATTATTTTTAATAATGCTGTGTGCACGCTGCATTATTTTTAATAATGCTGGGTGCTATTTTAGCTTCTGGACATTCGCTGATATAATGCAGAGAGAAAACAATAGGTTATTGTGACCGTCAGTAATTATTATAGCATATTGTTGTGTTTTGACTTGAATTTGTAATTAGGATCTCAGTTATTAGAATTGGGGGTGTCGGGAGCACAGGATATTGGTGTAGATACATGTTGTTTGTGGCAGGTGCATGTACCGCGTTAATACTGGTCCAATGTTCCGTTGGTTGACCCAGATTGCCATATCCCAGTCTGGTTGGTGGTCGTCGTACTCGTGAACTAACTGGGTGTGAATCAACTTGTGTCTCAGCCTCCGCTGCTACCGTGGTACCAGTCGAAGCTTGACTCTCTTGAGCTGGTTCTTCTGGTGTGGGACCTTCTTGTACAGCTTCCTCAACACTCTGCTGGGCTTCATTTTCAACCGACACTGGCACGAATTTATCTTCTGGATCTTGTGACCTGTTTCTCCTTCTCACTCTTCTTTTTCTTCTTTCACTGAGCTGGTTTCACAATAGGATTCTCCACAGGAAGATACGTACATGGAAATAGCATGTCCCTGTGCAGTACTCTTGCCTTCTCCCCGCCACTCGCAGGAATGACTTCATACACGGGAATCTCATTTGATTTCTGACGCACGATTTTGTAAACTTTGTCTTCCCAATACGACCGTAACTTGCCGGGACCACCCCTTTCTTTCACATTTCGTATTAACACACGATCACCGGGTTGTAGACTCGTACTCTTAGCCTTCTTGTCATATTGCACTTTCCCACTCGTAGCGTTCTTTTCTGCCTTTTCAGATGCAAGTTGGTATGCTTCGGACATCGATTCTCGCCATTTCTTGACATTCAGGATAAGTGCTATGGCCAGGTGGGGGTTTCAGACCGTACATAAGGTCAATTGGCAATCGCGGGGGTCTGCCAAAGAGTAGGAGGAATGGGGAGTATCCTGTCGCGTCATTTCTGGTACAATTGAATGCATGTACGACTTTCTGGAGATGATCACGCCAACGACTTTTGTATTTGTCTGGCAAGGACCGAAGCATTGACAAGAGCGTTCTATTAAATCGTTCAACTTGACCATTATCTTTGGGGTGATAAGGGGTTGTCCGAGAGTGTTTAATTCCGCTTACTTTTTCCAGGTTAAAGAAAAGTTTATTCTCGAACTCAGCACCTTGGTCGTGGTGTATCCTCTCAGGGAAGCCATAGCGCAAGATAAAGTCGTTATAGAGCTTGTCTGCAGCGGTCTTGGCTGATTTGTCACGAGTCGCGTAAAGTGGTCCATAACAACCAGGATGTATTGATAGCCTCCTACGCTTGTTTCGAGGTGAAGGTAGACGATAGAAACCATTTGGAAGGGTGCGGTGGTTACGATTTTATAGATGCTTGGTTTAAACTAACATCCGCTCGAGTAATCTCAGGAGGAAAGAGCAAAGGTGTTTGAAACTGTTCGACCTGTACTTTTGCTCCACAAACAGTCGCTTGGAAAGCGTCACGATTAACCTCTTCACTGCATGTTTTCATATAATCGTCAATATTCATAGGCATTCTGGACAATGCATCGGCGTCTCCATTGAGTTTTCCTGGACGATAACGGATGTTGAACTTAAAGTCGGCCAGTTCTCCAATCCATCTTAAGCCTGTGGCATTAAGTCGTGCAGATGTTAAAACGTATGTTAATGGATTGTTATCGGTATAAACCGTAAATTCAGGCGCGTAATAGAAATAATCACGGAAGTGGTCGGTGATTGCCCATTTGAGTGCCAGAAATTCTAATTTTCCTGCGTGGAGGTGATAGTTCTTTTCTGCATTCGTCAGACTTCGAGAGGCGTAGGCAATGACTCGCATTGTCTCTTCCTGTTCCTGGTATAAGACAGCACCTAGACCGTCTTTCGAGGCATCCGTGTGCACGATGTAGGGTTTTTGATAATCTGGATATGCCATAACCGGATGTGTTATCAGATGGTCAATGAGTTTCTCTAACACAGTCTGATGTATCTCAGTCCACGCGATTTTGAATGATGATGGCACTTGACCTTTCTTTCTGGTGTTTTTGTTACCTTTCTCTTGATCATGACACGGGTCTGTTGTTGCTGCTTGTGTAACAAGGTCATATAATGGTTTAGCCTTTCGCGCGAAATTGGGTACATAACGACGATAGTAACTGAGTAATCCAAGCATTTTCGGAAGATCTCCTATTGTATCAGGAGTATTGATCTTTAGACTCGCGACTGCGTTAATGTTCTCGGGATCCATTCTGTAGCCATCTTTCGACACTACTCGACCGAGGAATGTGACTTCACGTTTGAACAATTTACATTTTCTTTGTTTTAATTTGACACCGTGTTCTCTTAGGCGACGTAAAACTGTTCGTAATTGTTCAACATGTTTGTCGAATGTTCTACTAAATACGATCACATCATCCAAATAAGGAATGGCAATTTCATCACGTAATTCTCCTAAACACTGTTCCATGAATCTCTGAAAACTTGCCGGGGCGTTTATAAGACCGAATGGAATTCTTACCCATTCATATAACCCCCAGGGTGTCACAAATGCTGTTAACGGTCGGCAGGATGGTTTCACAGTACAAATCCTTGATGATACGCCTTACCCTGATCCAATACACTAAACCAAGCGTTACCACCTAAACTATCGAGAGTTTCTTGGACGCGCGGAATAGGATGCCTATCTGGCACTGTCTTACGGTTAAGTTCTCTATAATCGACACAAAGTCGCAGAGTTCCATCCTTTTTGCGAATACATACTACTGGGGATGAATAAGCTGATTTTGACTCTCTTATAAACTCGTTATTTAACAAATCTTCAATGCACTGTTTTACTTCGGGGTAGAGAGGTCTTGGTACCGATACATAGTTCTTTTGCACTGGCTCGTTTGTTGTCAAATTTATTTCTAGTTCTAGATCTTTGATATAACCGATATCCTCATCATTTCTTGCAAAAGAGTGACATTCTTCCTTCAACATGTTAGTAACCACTTGACGTTGACGTTCTGTTAATCCACCAAGGTCAACTTCAGGTAAAAACTGGTCATCATTTGTATTGTCTCGTTCTCGAGTTTCTTTCGCCATTGCATTCACTTGGGATTGTGTGGCTGTTACTGTTCGTTCTTTTTCTTTGCTTGACTTTTCTGCCAACTTCACTTCTACAGGTGTAATCGATTTAATTAACTGAAGACTTCCTAATACTGTGTGTTTACGCACGACAATGTCATGATTAGTTGTATTAGTCACATCAATCTTTACTTGAGACGTTGAGCCTTGTTTCACTGTTGTTACCGTTTCGTGCACCGATAAACCGTCTGGCCAGGGCGTTAATTCGTCCGGTTCAAACAAAACAAGTGTAGTTTCTTCTACCGGTCCAGTATTCGCTCGACAGTTAACTTTAAATGTTTTCTTTGCCGGGATAACAAAGTCTTTCTTTGGGCTCTTAATCGTGCATAGTTCATTTTCTCTTGCTGTCTGTATCAGTCTAACCAATTCGAGTAACACTTTCTCATCAAAACCTTGAAAACTAGCTTGTACTGTAGCAATATGTGCTGACTGAATATCAGATGTATTCATCGGCTTGATTAGTTCTTCAATAACATTGTATCCAAGAATGGGATATTCTAAACTGTCGTTTGTTACTAAGAAAGGAACCATAACCGATGGATCCTTTTCTTTTGATGAAATCAATCTAACTTCTATCTCAGTCCAACCACTATACGCAATTCGTGTACCATTAGCTGCTGTTAAATCCAATTCACCATTAATAAGTTCTGAAATGTTTTTTATAACATTTTTAGGAAAATGTTTTTCCATCATTTCTTTGGACACGATAGATACTTGTGCACCCGTATCCCATAATACTGTTGACTCAAATTCATTTAGAGAACACTTTACAGTGCACCGTCTTCCTACTAGCTTAGCAATCTTTGCATGCTCACTAGGAGTTAGGTGACTGGTAAATGTCTTATTATTGCTGCGTGTCTTGTTTTGACATGTCCATGTCAGGTCCCGAAGAGTTTTACAATTGTTCCTATGATCATTCCAGTGTCTTTTCTGGCAATTTTTTGAACAATAAACTATACATTTGCATTGTGCAGAACAGTACAATGTCATTTGATCATCGTCCTTGCCACAATAACTACATCTTTGGGACCGCAAACTTCTTTCGGCTACTTCTGGCCCCGGAGAGGCAGCCTCCTGGAGTTTAAAGTGTTCTTTCCACGATTCTGTCGACATCCAATTGCAAAATGATTGTCACTTCCACAAATGAAACAATGAGAGCATTTATCATTTCCACTAGTTTGGCACTGCAAGCATTTTGGCGGCGTATTTCTTCTCTGGTTTCTAGTGTCTACTGGCGCAGGCGAATTTGGTAATCGAGCTTGTTCAGTTTCTTGGTTGATATCCTTCAACTGACTCTTAACTTGTGCCACTTCAACTTTCAGTGCTTCCAGAGTCTTTAGAATTTTATCTTGGGACTCAGCTTTCTCTGCTACCTGGGAAACCTGGGCAGGATTTGGGCGGTTCTGGTTTCTTAATTTTCTTACCCGTTCATTCTCTGTCGACACTGCATTATTCACTTGCAAAATAAGCTCCTCATCTGATAGGTACCCCCTAACCCTTACTCTAACATTTTCATCTTGAAGGCCAGTTTTAACAGTACGTAGAAACAGCTTTTGAATATGATCATTTTCATAAACCAAAGTGTCCTCACTTTGATCTTGAGTGCTTGAAAACAGGATTTTCTGGCGTAAATCCAAGGCACGCATAAGGAATTCTTGTGGTGTTTCCTTTGACCCTTGACATATTGATGCAAGACTTTGATATAGCTCAGTTGCACTTTTTACATCATAATGGTTTCGAAGAATTTTTCGTAACCGCTCTAGAGATAGATCCTTGTAAGTTTCTACATAACTTCGAAGAACCATTCCACCATTAATTGCACGAATAACACCGTCCACAATTTCCTGTTCTGTGTACCCCTGTTTAACCCCAGTGTCAATTTGTCTTATCAGGGATGTGAAACTCAACTTGTCTTTCTCATTTGGCTGTCCAATTTGTCCCACAATCTTAAATTGTCGACGAAATACACTTGTAGATTCTAACATACCTTGTAATGTGCTTTGACTTTGTCCTGCGTTTTGTTTTACAGGGGGTACTGATTCTGAAACATCTTTTTCTTTTGGTTCTGTGCTCTTAAAGTAACGTGAGCGAAATTCTGTCAAGAATAACATTCGTTGTTCCTCGTTTTTGTCCACCAATTCTTTATCAATATGGTTAAAAATCATGCAAACAATTGTACTTTTCCTTTGTTCGGAAATATCAAGTTTAAAATCCTTTGCCATAGCCTGGAGCGTTTCTTCGGGTGCTTGGCAAACCGTTGTTTGCATCTCTACTTGTAGTTCTTCAGCCATAATCGCCAGCAAATCACCAAAAGCAAAGATCAAAATACGAAAATCAAGAATTTAGAAAAGCGTAAAAATCATACTTTTTCCTTCGCATTCACAGCTTCTTTTATGTATAAAAGTCTGGGTGGGACCTCCAATTTGTTACCCGCTCACTAAATTCTCGATCTATCCCATAATTCAAGTATTAAAACAGTAGAAAGCACAATTTATTTCGTAAAACAATGTGAACATTAATAACAACGTGGTTGACTAATCGCCATCTTGGAAATCTGTTTGTCTGTCCTTTCTCGTTACTATGGTAACTGTCACAACTGCATGATGCAATAGTTCCTATTTAACTAATGTTACACGACGTATTGCTAATGGGCATCCTACATATGCACTTGTTTACGCTTCCTTTCCTGAAAAAGGCTACAATATTAAGGCTAAATAGCAGAGAAATATGACCCAATAATCCATGCAATTAAAAATATCTATAAAATTAACTTCAAAAATCATGATTTGAGGAATTATATTTATCAGGCAACCCAAATTTAGTGACAGGTCTTGGGATGGATGTATACTACAAAACTATATAATACAAAACATAATCCGAAGATAAGCATCTTGAAACCCAAAATACGAGTCAAACAAGAAAGTGAGTGAGTAATATTTCGATTTTATTACAAAATCATCATCAGACTAACTAAAGTTACAATATACACATGGTCTTATATACAAGTTAGCAAGGCATGATGACAGCTTAACGGAAGTCTCAATCAGAACCACGACAGTTGCAGTGAGATGTAAGTGTGATAAAATGTGACTGCAACTGTCGTGGTTCTGATTGAGACTTCCGTTAAGCTGTCATTATGCCTTGCCACCTTGTATATAAGACCATGTGTATATTGTAACTTTAGTTAGTCTGATGATGATGATTTTGTAATAAAATCGAAATATTACTCACTCACTTTCTTGTTTGACTCGTATTTTGGGTTTCAAGATGCTTATCTTCGGATTATGTTTTGTATTATATTTTTTGAAATTGTCGGCTGGTATTGGTTTTTGGTCTACAAAACTATATTGACTGAAGTTTTGGAAAAATTTAGCCAACTTTTGAAGGATTTTATTAGGTCCCGTTCACATGAGACTGGAACGAAGTCAATTAACCGGGACCATTTCGTTTTGGTCATAATATTATATATAATAGATGTTTACATGAGGTCTCAAGTAATTCCGCCTGCTGGACCAAGCCGACTGACTTCAGACCAGCACCAATTCAGACCGGAATGAATGTTGACATAGGAACAAGTGAACAATTACACATGCTAACAAAAGCCATCTAAAAAAGAAAATTGCCTGGCAGGGGAATAAATTGAAAATTTTATACCGGTCTCATGTAAACATGTTGACAATTTCAATTTTCATTCCAGTTTTGTTTCATCCTGCTCTCATGTAAACGGGGCCTTACAAACTACGATTCAGTATCGTGGGATGAGATTAGGAAATTGAAAGATTTTATAAGTGAGCAATGCTTAAAAGCAAGATATATAAACAATGAAAGAAATGGCACTAACAGAGCCACAACTTCTCCAGAAAAGTGTAAAATCCCATGATACTGAATCACAGTTTGTGAGTCAATCCTTCAAAATTTAGTTAAATCTTTCCAAAACTTCAGTCAATATAGTTTTGTAGTACACCCATATTAAGGGTTCCTTTCAGCTTTCACCTTGCCAAGACTTGTCACTAAATTATGGGTTACCTGAATAGATATAATTCCTCAAATCATGATTTTTGAATTTAATTTTATAGATATTTTTAATTGCATGGATTATTGGATCATATTTCTCTGCTATTTAGCCTTAATATTGTAGCCTTATTCAGGAAAGGAAGTGCAAACAAGCGCATACAATAGCAATTCTTCTTCAACTAATGGGCAACCACTTCTAAATAGCAAGGAAGCTGAATGACTGTAGGGGCTCAGCCCATGAAAAAGCTATCCATACCCCTTTATTTGGGCTCTGCTCAGTTTTTATGTTGTAACTTATGTCGAGCCATTGCAAGTGAATTTAATAAAGGCCAGTAAACAAAATTGACAAAAATATACACGATAAAGTTGCACATTTCAGGTTGGAGTTTGGTACTATTTCAACTGTCAATTCGACATCGATCGAACTTTGAAAGGTTCAAAACCTATCTGTCTCATATTTGATCACTCTATAATTTTGTCCACGCAAAAGGTTTTCATCATAACTTAATAACAAATTATAATTTAGGTTTTGGAAATCATTGGGTTTTTATCAGGAAGCAATGCGCGCTAACACTCTCTTACAACATTTCGACGGCTATTTTTAAACACCAAATTAAACAGAGTATAGAAATAAAATAACACCCGAAATAAAGTTTTTCGTTACTTAAATCTTATCTTTAAAAAAAACAATACCAGCCGACAATTTCAAAAAATATAATACAAAACATAATCCGAAGATAAGCATCTTGAAACCGAAAATATGAGTCAAACAAGAAAGTGAGTGAGTAATATTTCGATTTTATTACAAAATCATCATCAGACTAACTAAAGTTACAATATACACATGGTCTTATATACAAGTTGGCAAGGCATGATGACAGCTGAACGGAAGTCTTAATCAGAACCACGACAGTTGCAGTGAGATGTAAGTGTGATGAAATGTGGGTGTATAGATTAAGAAAAAAGCTTGAGTTCTTTGCTGGCTTTGAGTCCAGTGGTTAAACTGGGTGAATGATACTTGATATAGAGCTTGACGGAGTCAAGGTGAGGTCTTGCGTCACGGAGCATTCACAATATATCCGTTTACAATGCATTGCACATGTTCGCAGTTGTGAAAATGCTGTCCAATAGCACTTTTGGTCGGATTGGTATGTTCAGCGAGTTGCGTCTGTAAACGTCTTTCTGTTTTCCCAATATACGTTGCGGAACAGCCAGGACATGTCACCTCATAAACTACATTAGATTTCGAAAGATTCGGAATTTTGTCTATGTTGGAAAGGAAATAAGAAAACTTTTTGTTGTCATAAACAACTATAAAATTTACAGGAACAGTTAGGCATCTTTGTATTTTCTTTATGCAACTTTTAACTAAAGTTTCACCTTGTTTGCCAAGGTATGGAACGCGAACTCAAACCTTAGGCCTAGTGTCGTTTTCATCAAAAAAGTTAGTGCGAGGTCGATCCGCAGAAAATTTGTTTTTTAGTTTAGATATCAATAAATTCCTTATCGCACGAGGAAAGCCATTCCAAGACATAAACATTTAAAGCTTCCGAACTTGGTTATCAAATAGTTGACTGGTACTGCATAATTTTGATGCTCGGTGAAACAAAGATTTAACCCACCCAGTTTTACGTGAAAATGGTTCAAAACTAGAAAAATGCGTGTATTGTCCAGTGTGCGTACTTTTGTAGTAAACATCAGAGTTATCCGACGAAATCAAAATGTCCAAAAAATGAATACATTATCCGGAAAGGTATCATGCAACTGTAAATTGGAGATTTTTGTCAAAACTATTAAATTTGTCAAGAACAGAAGGAATATCCGAAGGTTTTATAAGCGCTAGAGTATCATCAACGTATCTTCGGTAAAACCTTATGACACCAAATTTAGTTAGATCCGAAACAATAAGTTTTCAAATTCCGAAAGAATGATGTTAGCTAGCACAGGCCCCAGTGCAGACCCCATAGAAACGCCGTCAGTTTCCTCAAAAAGTTGATTGTTAAAAAAGTTGTACGTAGTAATCAATTTTTCTTCAAAAACGCGGTCAAGAATGATTTTGACACTTTTGGTTAGTGGAACGTTTGTGAACAGTGAAACAACATCAAACGAAACAAGGCGATAACCTTCTGAGAAAAGCTCTTTAGGTATAGATTTTATTTCCGAAACCGCATGAAATGAATCACGAAGCACTTACTCGTTTTGAGCTAATGGATTTAATAACTTAGCGAGAAATTTTCCAACGTTATAATGTGGTGTTCCAGTTGTGTCAATAATAGGTCTAAACGGTGGCAAATCGTTGTAATGTTTGTGGACTTTGGGAAGCCCATGTGCTCTACCGAAGTGTGCTGCTTTAGATCTAAGAAAGTCATAGTCAGATTGAGAAATTTCACCACGTTGTAAAAGAGTGCATAAGAAGGACTGTAGAGAGTTTAGTCTAGTAGGCGTTGGGTCAGTATCAAGTAATTTAAAACGTGAAGCGTCAGAGAAGAGAGATGTGACAGAGGAAAGATAATCCGACTGCGTTTCATGACAACAATGCCATTACCTTTGTCGGGTTTTAAAATGGATAGGTCTTTGGAAAGTTCAGTTAGTGTTCTGATTTTCTTTCTGTCCGTGTAGAACTCGCACAAATCTATATCGATACAACCGTAGGTGAAGGAGCGTAACGAATTCTTGATTTTATCTTGTATATGGCGTCCGTCTTTAAACTTATTGAGACGAGCGATTTGATCCCAAACGTCTTCCAATACAGTCATTATTTCAAATTGGTTAGGTCTTGTTGCTAGTCCGTGTCTTAATCCAAGTTTAAGTACGTCAATTTCATCAGATGAGAGAGTGCGGGCGGACAAGTTTATGATGGTGTCATTTGGGTTCTCTTCGATCGCATCCGCCGTTTGCTCGAGTTCAATTAGGATGTTCTGTTTTCTATTGTGTCGGGAAGTGATCTTACTTTTCTCGATGCTGAGTAAACAATTAATCGAGAAACAAATGAGTCGGAATTTCATCCACGTAGTCTGTCCAGATAGTTCATGCTTGAGCTCATCACATTGCTTCGTCAAATTGCCAACATGCGAGTTCTTTTCTTTGATAGCATCAGTCAGGAGCAAGTTGTAGTAGCGTCGCAGATTCCATCGCACGAACTTCGGAAAGACTTGATTTTCTTTACAGTCATAAAGAAACTTCAAATCCAACTGTGCCTTAGCCAATCTTCGCAAAGACCGTTGGTATTTAATTAATTGCAACTTGGTGTAATTGAGGGTCGGTCATTCGGAGCTTA